CATTGTTTTATGTATATGGTGACTATTATGGTGATTACCCAAACTAGAAGGCCAAACAATATATAGGAAACCTAACCGCAAAGCCACAAAACTCAAATTTTCCTGGGTTAGCTTGATCGGGCTGTGAACAACTCGGCCCAGGAGCTACGCTTTTAGGCTGGCCCAAATCTACATATTACAAAAATTTTAACCGTAAAACACCGGCATCAATAAATAAAGGAATCGTATGTTGATTTCGCTCAGAAAAATAGATACAGTGAAGAGCTCGCTTTTGGAGCTTTTCAAGGTGTGATTTATATGCTTCGCCTCAAGCCATCAAACCATAAGTTAAATTAGGAGAAACAGGAGATCGATAAATATTTAAAAGAGTACGTTTTGGCAGAAAATGCCGTAGTTTACAAATCAATCCTAAAGTTCGGCTCATTTTAATAGCTACATGGTCAATATGATATTTTCAAAAAAGATTATTGTCAATTATCACATCTAAACATGATCTCATAAAATCTTTACATTCTAGAGCCACATTCTTATTTTGATCATTANATTTAAGGTTAATTTATTAGCCGTTAACCAATCGAACAACTTGCAGAGTTCTTGATTTACAGTCGACTCATGGAACTTAAGATTTTTGTCAGCATATACGGCATTCGTGTCGTCAGCAAATAAAAAAAAGTTTAAGTTTATTGTCAGAGGATTCTTGGATATCGTTGAGGAGAAGTAATAGGCCTAGGACTGAGCCTTTCTGTACACCACAAGTGCTATTTAATTTTTCCGTTTAGATATATCAGAGAGCCAATTTGCGTAGTTTGAGTTCGACCATCCAAGTAAGATGAGAACCACTTATTTTTAACACTACGAAAACCATAGTGATCTAACTTGTGCAAAAGAATTTTATGATCGACTGTATCAAAAGCCTTTTTCAGGTCAATAATTACACCACAAGAGAAAAAGCGCTTGTCCATGTTTTTCTATATGGTACTTAGAGTGTCAAGAATTGAATACGCTGAATGCGCTTTGCGGAAGCCATATTGAGATGGAGAAAGTATATCATTTTGCTAAATGAAAGATTGCATTCTGGAGTAGATCAATTTTTCGAAGATCCTTTTAAAGTTAGACAGCAAAGAAATAGCCCTATAATTGTTTGCATTAGTGTTATCTTCAGGAATAATTTCTGCATTTTTAGTTACAAATACTCAGGGTG